TGGTTTTATATCAAGCTTATATTATTTTATAACCTATTCAGGATCACTTTCCTTGGTATGAAGTAGTGCCTTGTGCTCTGATTGGTCAGCTTCCCCACTCTGTTCTGATTGGTCAATTGCCAGAGCAGTTGGAAGCGGTAGTGGCATCCTGCTACAAGTTCTACAGATGGCCGATAAGGATTGTGTTACAAGATTGCATTTGTAAGAAATGAAAAGGGCTGGAATTCCAATGAGGTGTTTCCGGCAGCTGAGAAAAGTGGTTTCTGTGGGAGAGAGTTACTCCCTCTGGTGTGTACTTCGACCTTTGTAACTTTTCAGACCAATGTACAAAAAGCTCCACAACACACTAAAGGAAAGGGTAAAACCAGACTAGCATAATAGGTCTCCTTTAATATTTTCACACAAGACAAAAGTATCGAGTAACGAGCCCATTTAAAGTTTAGTAATTGTAACTGAGTTATTCAATTTGGGATGATAATTAAATACATTACTCGTTACCACCAAAAGTAGTGGAATTACAGAAACTCTTTACTTTGTAACTCGTTACTCCCAACACCATTGCTTGTTTTGTCAGTCAGGTGCAGACTGAATTCTGCTATTGCTGCTCCAGACAGCTAACCAGCAGGTTCACAGTTATTACAAGTTCTCTGGTGGTATCCGCTTTTTGGTTTAGATCTAGAGGTTTAAGGGGGCACTTCCATTATCACATGGGTGATATAGGTTTTGAATACATCTTTATCTTCAATAAATGGAATAATCATTTAAAGGTTGCATTTTGCATTTAGTTGTCTTGTCTTTATCTTATATTAAAATTAGTTGGTTTAAATGTGACAAATTAGCAAAGATAGAAGAAATTGGATGAAAACTTTTTCACAGCACTGTATCTCTGCGCTCTAGAAAGCCCAGTGATGTTCTTTTTTCAGTTCAGTAGTCTATCTCTGAAAAATCTATCTCCTGAGAGTTCCCTTCTGCTTCAGTCCCAATCAAGTATAGTTTCAAACAACACTGCTGTTTAATTAAGAATTTTCCGATTCATCTCATATTTCTGTTGAGTGTTGTGTCTTTCTGACCAATGATAGTCTCTTAACTCAATGTGACTGTAGAAATGTAATAAACACTTTTAATTGATTATATTTTAATTGTATGATTTTAGCCATAATAGTGTGATTCTGGCTGATGTCTTTGATACACTCTCAAACTGAACTGATGTGTTCATTAAAAAAATGACTGTGGCATGTTGTGTTTAGTGTTGTGAAATGTTTAGTCCTGAACTGGATGCACAGTGAGCATCAACACAGATTGTATTAAATGTAGCTCAAAATGTGTCAAAACTACATATTGTTATACACATAAATCCCACATAAAAATGATGAAAATTGTTGATCTTCAATGTCTCAGGAGGTGATATAATGATTCTTACTATGTTTCTTTTATGTAATTAAGTTTTTATTACAGATTTTATTCCTATAGTTCTATGAGACACTTCTGGCCCAGATAAAGATTATAATAGTTTTATTATATAATTTATATACAGATATAAATTATAATAGTTTTGTCTGTAGTTCAGTTGCAAATGAACAGTGTTATTATCTTGGCAAATCTGACTTTGTTGAGCTCTCGACCGAAACTCAAGAATAGACACGTGAGATCACTGAGGTTTTTTTTTCTTAGTAGAAATATCTGAGCAGTAGAACAGAAACAAAAGTCTCATTTGTCTTTCCATCTGTTCCCATTGCTGTCTATGAGAAACTGCAGAGATATTAAGGAGACATCTTTTTTGATGTTTCTCTGTGGGCTGATTTGAGGCTGTACAGGTTATGGATGTTGCCTCTTCATTTCACCAGCGTGTCACCATTACATCACAGTCTGAAAAAAAGAAACCAAGAAAAACAGAAATGAAAATCTTCAGCATCAATACTGACAATACTGACTAGTGGTCAGCTGTGACCAAGGGACAGTGGTCAGCTATGATTAGTGACATCTGAGAATCTCTATCTCTGAATGCCAGGTGAATAGACTTCTGCATGTTTGCACTGATTGCATGTCTCCTGCATGGAAGCATGAATGAGGAAAGGTCTCTATTGATGAGTATTGATTAGACATGCTCTGTTCGCACATCCTGCTGGAAAGGCCGCCTGCCTATTATCCTTCATGAAAAGCAAAAGCCTCTGCTGGCTGACGTTTCAGACATTTCTGGAAGTAACGTACTATACACTCAAAAGCGACCATATGTTTCCATGGTCACACAAAATTAAGGTATTTGAACTCACTCCTTTGTGTGTGCTTGCAATTGTCAGGCTGACTTTGTATCCCACACCATCCTAGCTCACCTGTAGATATCTGTAATTCTGATATGCCTGTCTGCAAAGATGATCAATGAAAGCGTTATGACAGTAGCCTGGAAAAAGCTTAATTTCATCCCTCTTATGTCTACAACACCAAGAAACCTGGATTTTACATCCTATTGTATCCTTTTTTACATGAGAAGAAATACTCATAGTTGGAAATAGATGTTATTATGCAGTCTTTTAGATTATTGTCTCATAATCTTCATTCTCCCTCTGTCTATGCAGGTTTTGCTTTAACTGCAGTGCCATTACAATAGATTTAAAAAGCCTATTTAAAATAATTGATCTGCTCTCAGACAAGGCACCACAATAGATGCAACACAATAGATTCTAGGGCAGGGGTCAGCAACATGCAGCTCCAGAGCCACATGCAGCTCTTTTACTGCCTTGTTGTGGCTTAACAGTAGGATTAGATTTTTAAGATAAAAAAAAAATAATCCTCTTTTGCGGTGAAATAAAGCTCTGGTGATCATTCTAACACAGTTTTAACAATAAATGGTCTGTTAATGTATAACTGCTAAACCCACCCTGAAGATCTCCGCATAGACTGCTGGTCACCATAGCATCGCAGACAATAGTCTTGCCTAGCTAGTAGCTAATGAAACAGCAAAGAAAGAGTCTTAAGATGAACAAAATTTGGAGATGAACTGACTTACTTGCATTTATAAGCACTCCAGCTGGTTTCCTGATATGTTTATAATCTGCAGCGCTAAAATATAACACTAAAATGTTGCGAGGCTGAAGTCAGCTTCTTGTTTGAATTTTCCTGTTCCACCTTAAATGGTGCAGCAGCTACATTTTGGCACCTCAGGTGGAGCGTGAAAATACAAACAAGAAGCTGGGGAATGAGGAGCTAACTTCAGCCTTCTAAAAATGCTGAGAGATATTTCACAAGAAAATATTCTATTTTTGAGGAAAAGTTTCCTGCTGGAGATGTGAGAAAAAGCAGCCATAGCAAAGCTTAAGCTTAAAGCAGAGCAAAGTAAGTTTGGGTTTTCATTTATATTATATTTTTAGCCTATACTAGGGCATTAGCACAAACTGAGACAAATGTACAGCCAAAATGGTAAAACATTACTTCAATAAAATGTGCATAAAATGTTGTGGCTCCCAAGATGGTTTGAAAATGGCTCTAGGGGAACAAACAAAATAAGTAAAATGGGTTATTTCCCCTCATTATGTAGATCTAAAGCTTTAACATGCTGATATCCGCTCTCCCGATCTACAGGACTAGAGGTAGTTGACAGAAATGTCTCAAATCATGTAATTGTTGCTTTATTCCTTATGGTAATAACTAGGAGCTCAAGAACATATAAACTGAATGCAGCTGAAAACAATGGAGATTTACTTGTACATAACAAAAACAGCTGAACTTAGACCACAGTTTAATTTATATGATTATTCTCATTAAAGGTCAGTTACGTCCCAACCATATTGTTATAGTTACAATTTGGTTAGGACTTCATGGCAAGATGGACACACTGTGGCAGATGTAAAGGCCCTGTTCTGGGGTTTGTCATGATACTTAGATTGTACTGTTTCAAACTGTTGTCATGACGCAAGCTCTTTTGTTTCCATTGATTAGCTGGCTTACTGATTCCTGCTACACCCCAGGCATTAAGCCTCTAACTTGAAGTGACTAATTGAAGTGCTGGCATCAACCCTACAGAACGCATCAAAAGAATGAAAAATGGATGTGATGTATCTATAAGGGCAGTTGCACTTCCACTGGCAACCTTCATTTCATGGTGCTCCTATAGAGGGGTCGACATGCATCGCTCCTAGAATCCATTTCTGAAGAGTTCTTCCAACCACAGCAACTCATTCAGAGAGTTCATGGATAGATGTGGCATCTTCTGGAGAAGAGACCAGTCTTCTACACTATTGAGCCATCTAGGTGACTAATCAGCAACTCTCAACGCGCTTGGCTCAGTCATTGCACTAGAGGAGAGGCAATGAATACAGCAGTGGGAGACTAGCGAAGCGAAGTGCAGATCTCTCAGGTGAAGTTCACATTTGTTTTCCATCTTGCTCTTCTAGACTATCAGCATGCTGAGTCCAACATACCAGCAGTGTGGGAGTTAGAGCTACGGCCCTGGACACCAGAGACATTAACCCAGCTCTGGGATACTCATGCGGTCGGTGTACCCTGAAAAAGGTACTTGGTGAGAAGATGCCCTTTAGCTCACATCAGTCACTGGGTATGGTGACTTTAACCTTGACCTTAACCAACTGCTCTAGAGCGTGCCATTCTATTGGCAATGCTGTTCTATGTAGATTATACAAGCACAGCTGTATGTGCAACTGAACATCTGTGTCATCAATGAGTACAAAGTAGCTAAACAAATTAGATTGGGGTGTCCAGATCCTTTGAACACATGGGGCCAGTTTTCTGGGAAATTAAGCCTAGTCCTGGAGATAAAGCCTAGTCCTGAGGATTAAGCATAGTCCTGGACTACAATTTTCTTTCAATGGAGAATCACACTTCGGAATGCTGTGGCCCAAAGTGTATATTACTGGAAGACTAAGGACGTTCTAAGGCTGTTTATCTGCAAGTATGTGGTTATTTTGTCCTGGCTGTTCTCTCTGTCTGTGTGGTCAGCGGCCATCTTTCAGTGCTGGACTGACACAGTGGTGAGGAGTCTGGAGTTGGACTACAAAAGGGTCCTGTGAAAAGCAAACAGTGCGCTTTGACTGCGAGATGCCATCCAATAACCTGAGGAGGAGCACAGAGTAAGAGAGGAATACTACTGTACATCTTTACTAGTTACTGTTGCAGTAGACCTTGATAACCTATTTGATCAACATCTCACTCACCAACATCTGCTAACCACCTTCAGGTATCTTTTTTTTTCCTAAAGACTTAGTTCTGATAACTTCTTTTCTTTCTTTCGTTCTTTCTTTCTTTCTTTTAAATATTTTTCTTGTTTTTCCATATATCCCATTTTTTGTATAGATTGTATTTGCAATTATTAAAGCATTACATTGTATTACATTATAAATGCATTATATTTTGCAGAGAATGTGGAACAGTTGCTGTTATACATGTTAGTTCATTTTAATTTCTATTTGAAATCTTGACTTTGTTACTTTCCAGTAATCTCAGAAATGTTCCCTCTTTATGCAGGCAGAGTTGCAGTATGTCTCGGCAACATGTTTCAGTGTTACTCTGCACCTTGATTTTGGGTTCCCTCTCCAGAACAGGTATCCTTACAATGATTTAGCCACTCATATTTCCTTAACAAAAAAGAAAACATTATTGTTCACCAAAATAATATAAAATAATGCTAATAAGTCACAGTCATTTTACATTTGATACACAGGAATGCATGTTCTTTTGCACTTTAACTATGGACCGAATACATTCACTCAAGTGATATTTTACCAAGACTATTTCTACTTTCAGTCAAATACAGAAGTTTTGAACTTGGTCTGCCTCTGAAGGCTAATCTGTTTCAGCTCTAGCATGACCTGCAATCTCAGTGAAGTCATTCAGTGCTTGCAGCTGATCCAATATTTTGACTTGGTGGAGAAAGAGACTGGTGTCTTTTTGTCTTTATCACAACCACAGTTTAGAATTTATTGGAACTGATGTTTTTTTCATGCATTCTGTTCAAATTTGCATGTATACTGCCTATGTCTGTTTGTCAATAACAGTTAATTCTTCTGTGTTCTCCCTCTTCCTCTCCCTTTCACTCTCTATCTTTCTTTCTATCTCTCAGGAGCTGAGAGTGAAGAAAGGTCTTTTGGTTTGGATGAAGGTACATGCTTTCTAAGAGTATAACTGTATTATAGTATCAGTAATAAAATCATGTAACGTGTTGTTTTTTTACATCGTCCCTGTCAGAAGAAAACCTTCTCCATTTTTAACATTTTCAATTGTTCCATGATTTGAAAATAACAGCTGCACATTACATTGTTTGGAAAATTTCATTATGAATGGATCAGTATAAATGCATCTCAACAGGAACCACTGTACAGATAGCTTTCTGTTTGTTCTATTACTGATCTTGCAGATGAAAAGGGGAATGAGGAGAAGCGCATCATGCCGTACTGGAACATGTGGTCTTCAGATTTCTATGGCTGGATGGAGGAGTTAAGAGCTCAGGCAGCATATGACACCTTACTGGACTTGGCAAGAACCTATTGGGCTCACTTTCCCATCGGCAGCTTTTTAGGTTATGACTCCATCCCTGATCAGGTGGACCAAACGGAAAAGGAGACAAACAACTGACAATGCCTGGCAATGTGTTCTCTAACAGGACTCCCTTGATGTTATCATACCTCAAAGCGTCTTGACATTGGTCAGTTTGGACCATTTCTATTTGTTCATTGCTTCATGATTAAAATTGGCAAACTCAATGAATAGGCAATGGTTAGTTTGAATTTTGAATCATAATCACGGTGTTCACAGGTCATTATACAGATATGTTTAGCAGGCTAAAGATTCTCCATAAAGGGGGGAATTACTGTCTTTCATATGCAACATTGAAAGGGTGGGAACCCACACCAGCAGGATCTAATGAATTTATGTATGTCTGTAGCAAATTGCTCTGAATTAATATTCAGAGTTAAAATTCAGAGCTTTATCGAAAGATTTACTGGAAAACTGTCTCAAAAGACATATGTTGTCATATAAGAAACCACTGTATCCCTAAAACAATAACTTTATAGGACAGGGGTGTCCTGTCTTATCTACAAAGGGCTGGTGTGGCTGCAGGTTTTTCTTACAAACAAGCGTAAGCACATCAGATTCCATTTATTTAATCAATTGGTCTCAAGCTTCAAATCATTGCTTTTGTGTGCTCCTGCATTGTTGGAGTGAAAGCTTGCAACCACATCAGCCCTTTATGGATAAGATTGGACACCCCTCTTAAATGAGAAGAAAAAATGCTTTTAACTAACATGTCATTTTGAACCATTTGTATAGTCTATCTGCCATGAAATGTCCAATGAATGAAAAGGGCATCTGGCATTTTCAAATGGTTTGAAACAAACAAAAGAAAAATGACAGGCAGGACGTTTTCTCCTGACATGAAAATTAAGCTCCTCCATGCACTCAATTACTGTTAGTGTGGTCTCTGGTTCTTATGGTCTGTCTTTGATTGTTCCTGCTAGCTTCTCTTTATCCAGACATTTAAGCTTTCTCAATTGTAGTGACAGTTCAACACAAACAATAAAATAATCTTGGAGTGAATAATAATAAGTAAATAATCTTGGAGTGTATGATAAAACCATATGTTGTGTTTCTTATTTGAATTGAATCAAAAAGTGCTTATAGGTATTATTTTACTATTCTGATTCCACATGCCTCTGTTTGTGAGTATGTCTTGTGCAAAACTATGAAAAAGTCCAATAATATTATCGAACAAAATAGTGAGCAAACAAATGTACAGGCATATTCGTGGGATTACATCATTCAAATCGCTCAATCTTGGTCGGATTGTTTATAAGATCTTTAATGTCTAAATGTCAAGGTTTAAGATATGACCTTTCCAATACCTGCCCTATTTACTTTCTTCTCAGTTTCATCAAACGCTCAACATCTGCCATGCTATTACCCCTTTATTGACTCCTCTTTGAGCCGAAGTTCACATGCCTCTTACAGAAGCCCCAGCTAAATCAAACCTGAAATCCCACTTACTATTCCCAGAAGTGTTGACCCAAGAGATTGCAGAGATCTATTTCTGCACCACCACTGATAAAAAAAAAAATCTAATTTCATGCTGTTGGAAAATCACAAAGAATGTTTCAAATTTGTGCTCTTGCCTGAAATCTTTGAGGATCTGCTGTACTTGCAAAGTAGCTGTGGCTGGATGTGGACCAAGGCAAACTAGCAGTGATATTCTGAGACACAGTAATATGTGTTGCAGGTGAAAATGAAAGATCATACAGTTGAAAATTTCATTGATTCTCACCAAATAACTTAAGTGTTCTAATGATGAGTGATTTTTTCATCAAATACTGTTTCAGTTGTTTGAAAGTTTGGGTAGCAACTCCAATATTTCTTACCTTCATCCTCCTCTCTGCTTTATGGTCTTAAGTGCACTGCATCTGCCACTGCAGTTTAGCTATTACAGCAGAGTAGGCCTGTTTGGAGTGGTCTGCGTGAGCTGTTTTCTCTGGCCTTGACCAACCAGTGAGTGCACAGAGGGTCACTATGTACGGCACAGTGGGAAAAAAAATGTCCTTTCGCAGGTAAACACTACAGAGACTGCATATCACCTATTCTGTCACAGCCAAACTGGTGGCAAACTCAAGTGGTTTCTCAGTACCACTGAGAATTCCTACAATGCTGCAGATTTGCAGTCCTACTGTCAGTGTAAAAAAAGATGAAGTAACTCAGGAACAGCCCCCTTTCCTGCCCCCTTATGTTCTCTCCTGAGGCAAATGATGGAGATTTTAAACAAGTGTGTAATATCAAGAACACATACAATCTCCATAGACAAGCACTGGTTGTAGAATGGGACGTACTGAAGAGCTCAGTGACTTTTAAAGTGGCATTTTCATACACTGTAGGTGATTTTTGTTGTTACTACAGCATTATTACTGTATCCTCAACAGTATTTTACCATAGAATCTTTCTACAGTATGTTACTGTAGATTTTAAATGCACTCTGGGAATTTTTCACAAATTACACTAATATTACTTGTAGATCTAAAGACAGTATTAATACCTTACTGTACATCTGAATGTAGTAATATTAACTGACTGTTATAATATTAACTGGCTAGCTGTCTCGACTTTTACCTTTTTATCAGGTCTTCCACAGGAAAACTAAGCTAAAGGTAATTAGTCAGCCACTCAGAGGTTTTCAGCAGGATAACAGTAACGCAGATATACTTTATTGTTTTTTTAGTTTTATGGATATGTGAGGACAGTGCTACTGTTAAGCACATCGTCTTGTAATGTTAAATGTCGAGCACATTGCATCGCCTACTCAAGCACTTTAGTGCAGGGGTGTCCAAAGCTGCAGGTTTTCACTCCAACAAAGCAGGAGGTCACCTGATGAAATGTTTGAAGACTAAGACTGACTGATTTAACAAGTAGAATCAGATGTACTTCACCTTGTTTGGAGTGAAAACCTGCAGTCACACCGGCCCTTTGCGGATAAGATTGGACACCCCTGCTTTAGTGAGTGACCATCCTCAGTGTTTTGTACTGGATGAGTCCAAAATCTTTATTTTGTAAACTGGTGAAACAGAACACTTTAATAACAATGTCTTGCTAACATTATTTCTACACTGAAGTGAGAACTGCATGGTCCATGTATACTTATTAGTTAAAATGTGTGTTGACATATAGCAAAGTCCTTACAGGAAAGTCTGTTCACTCTATGGCCATCTGTGCAACACCACCGGGCATGTATTTCCAGCCATACAAGACCAGGCTCCTCTCTATTTGAATGTGGAGAGACTAAAATACTTGGTCAAATTACCCTTTAAAAACATATTAGAAATCGCTCGTAAAATTTGACAAAAATCTCATAAATAGTTTGTAGCGTTTGGCTCAATGAAGCGCAAAAAACGTTTTTTCAGGTTGAGAGGGAGTTTCCCCACTCACAGTGCATCCAGCAAACTAACTGGCTCTTTTTCTTGAAGTGCGGGACTTTCCCCGTAAATAGACACCATGTTAAGCATTACAAGCTTTCCCATTCATATTTCAACCAGTGACCAGTCTCCTCCTTTATAACAACTCTGCATGTAGCTAACATAAGCTAAGTATGTGTAAATGTAAGCTGGCTAACAGTAGCTGCTGTATTAGGTCTCTTTGTGGACGCACTTAGCTAGCCAGCTAACCATGGCTGCCGTATTTAAGTAATTTTGTGGAAAATACTGTAGAAATAAGTTCAGTAATTTTTTACTGTGAGATTAATTAGATTACACTTCCAAGTACTGTAGAACTAATTACATAAATTTATTGATGCTGTATATTACAATATGCTTAAAAGTCACGTAGAACTAACAACAATAGGTATAGAGTATATTGAAATGCAATAATTTCATTTTTACACACTAACTCCTGTGGGAGTGGAGAAAAAACATATCAAAGAACTCTGTTATTTTAATGATAAACGTATTATAGTGTGGGATGACACCTTTGACAAGTTTGTTTGTAAAATTTCTTCTAGATCTTTCTTGATCAACTGCAAGTACTCCTATTGTGAAATGGATGCTTCTAAGTGCAGCAGCTCAGTAACTAAGAAGTAGACCACATAAACTCACAGAGTGAGGCCATTGAGTGTGTAAAAATTGCCTATCTTCTGTTGTGTTACTCACTACAGAGTTCCAAACTGCCTCTGGAAGCAACATCAGCAAAAGAACCGTGAGTTGGGAGCTCCATGAAATGGGTTTCCGGGCCAAGCAGCTGCAGACAAGCCTAAGATGCACAATGCTAGGACTGGTGTAAAGCACACTGATATTATCAAACAAAACGCAACGACGTGGTGCTGCTAACACAGCAGACAATTCTATATGAGTTTAATAACTTAGCTGGCTACTGTTTTCGCAATTTTCATAAGTGAATTATGTGAAGATTGACATTAGCGGCAAGAACTACAGAGAACCAAGTTATGAAAAAGCTAGTTAAGGAGGACAGGGAGATTTCTGAGCAGGTGGGCGGTGAGAAATGTTGACAGGATGTTAATTTAAGTTACTTAGCTAACGTTAGCATCGTTTGTAGCTTATTGACTGTCATGATTGTGTCACATTTAAAAGAAAACTTTCATCAGTTGTATTTTAGCACTATCTAGCCAGCTTGTTTATCTCAGTATAGCAGTATAGCATTTAAACTTGATGTAGTTGAACTACATCAAAGCTACCCTGGGGAGAAATCTAGTATGGTTAACTAAAACTACTTAAAGTAGTTTAAACTACTTAGTGAAAAAAATCAAATTGACAATGTAATGTGGTACAAAATCACAACAAAATACAATGCAAAAAAGTCACATGCCAGCAAAAGCTCCCACACTATTGAGTTTATTGCAAAAAGTGCCCACTTGATCACAGATCATACATAAACCAAAAGAAATTAAATACCCCACATGGGAAAAAAACTGTTTATAGTTTCAGTAGTTGACTTTACAAAAAGGCAAAAAAAGTAGTTTTACTACTTGAATCACTATGCAAATATAAATATGGTTAAACTACCAGCACTACTGAAAAACTGAAAAACATCTAGTTAAATTACATGTAGTTCACTACTTCCCAACACTGATAGATACACTGTGATTATTTTTACTATAAAACTGAAAGTTCATCATATTTAAGGTTCATAAAATGTAAACAGTAACTGTTAAACTGTTTTTTTTTTTCACAGCCCAAATAAAATTCTTTAATGATAATCAGACATAATCCTGCATTTGATTGGTTTTGTATTTTTGAACAGTAGGAATATGTGTTTTCTTGTCATAATATGGGCCCCCCACCCCAGGGTATTTAATGTTATATCTTTAGATACAGTATGAATGTCTGCTACTGAAGTGTAATGCAGGTGTAAGACCTGTTAAATTTGTTATAGGTCCACAGTAGTTGGAGCTCCTCAGTCCAACAACCTTATTTTTATTTCAATTTCTGGAACTTGGCAACACTACCTCCCTGACAACTGACAACTCTAACAACTGTTGACGTTAAGACAGATCCACTATTTTACGTAAATCTTTGAAGTAGTAAAAAATTATTTGTGTTGTAGTTTTGTT